AGGAGGGGGGGGATAAAGGAGGGGGGGGATAAAGGAGGGGGGAGGAGGAAGAGGGGGGGGGGCTGATGAATCCCCCTCCCCAATAGGCTGCAGGAGAGTTTCCCTTTAAAGGCCAGGCATTTGAACCCCCTTCCCCTTCCCCAAGCCAACTGCTCAAGCACACAGGAAGCGCCTTTTCCTTCGAAGCTTCAGATGTCACTTTTAAAGGGGACACACAAACACACACTCCATCCATCCATCCTCCCTCCATTCATCTATCCATCGTCCATCCATCCTCCTTCCCTCCCTCCATCTTCCATCCATCCATCCTCCACCCATCCTTCCCTCCCTCCATCTTTCATCCATCCATCCTTCCCTCCATCTTCCATCCATCCTCCTTCCCTCCCTCCATCCTCAATCCATCCCTCCATCCTTCCTTCTTCCCCCCTCCATCTTCCATCCTTCCTCCATCTTCCTTCCCTCCCTCCATCTTCCATCCATCCTCAATCCATCCCTCCATCCTTCCTTCTCCCCCCCTCCATCTTCCATCCTTCCTCCATCTTCCTTCCCTCCCTCCCTCCTTCCCTCCCTCCATCTTCCATCCATCCTCCTTCCCTCCCTCAATCCATCCATCCACCCTCCCTCCCTCCTCCCTCCCTCCATTCATGCATCCATCCACCCTCCCTCCATTCATCCATCCACCCTCCCTCCATTCATCCTCCCTCCATTCATCCATCCATCCACCCTCCCTCCCTCCCTCGATCCACCATCCATTGTTCAATCGATCCATCCATCCAGTCAGTCAAGCTCACAGCAGGAATCTTCCCTTACTTGGAGGTTGCAAGGTGCATCTCTCTCTTTAAAAAAAAAAAAAAGAACCAGCCCCCCATCCAACCGGTCAAGACCTTCAATCTTTCCAATCCATCCATCCTCCCCCCTCCTCCATCCATGCATCCATCCATCCACCTTCCCTCCCTCCTCCACCCATCCAACCTCCTTCCCTCCCTCCATCTTCCTTCCCCCCATCCATCCATCCTTCCCTCCCTCCATCTTCTATCCATCCTCCTTCCCTCCCTCAATCCATCCATCCTCCATCCTCCCTCCCTCCCTCCATCTATCCTCCGTCCTCCTTCCAGGATCCACCCTCTACACAGGGCCCATCTGGGGTTGGGGGGGGGAGAAGGCCCTTCCTTTTTATGACCCTATGGTAAGTTTCCCTTCACACATATGTGCTAGTCAAGAGCCAAGGTGGCGCAGTGGTTAGAGTGCAGCACTGCAGGCTACTTCAGCTGACTGCAGTTCTGCGGTTCAAATCTCACAGGCTCAGGGTTGACTCAGCCTTCCATCCTTCCGAGGTGGGTAAAATGAGGACCCNGCTGGCGGGAGAATTGTGGGAGTTGAAGTCCACCCGCCTTCAAGTCACCACGGTTGAAAAACACAACTTATTTCTCATTTCTCAGCCTGATAGGCCTAACGTATTTTTTCCAATTGCAGTGGTTTATTAGGTTAAAATTTAAAGGGGAGGGGGGGTAAGATTTCCCCCAAGTGGACATTTTTGGGAAGCAGAATTGTACACTCTGACGGCAAAAAAAAAAGGGGGGGGGATTGTGGTGCGTCCAAACTCCCCTGCCTTAAAAATCTCCTTGCACAAAAGGTGGGGTATCACATCAGAAGTCCCTAGTGCAAAGGTTTTGCTGGGTGAGGGGTTGCTTAGATCTGACATTTTGAAACACACACACACCATCCTTTCCTCTCTTCCCATCGCACCCGCCCCCCTTCCAGGGTAGTGCTGACTGGCCCTTCATCTGCCCCCAAAAGCCCCATCCTGCCCAGCCGCTCGTCTGGATGCCCTCTACGCTCCCCTGCCTCTCTGCCGAAGGGCGCCTTCCCGACACGCTACCTCTTTCTTCTCCTCGTCTTCGGGGCCCGGGGGTTCTGCGGAAGGCTGGTCCTCGGGGCCACCGGGCTCCAGGGCCTCGTTCTCCGGCTGGGGCTCCGACAGCTCCATGGGCATCGTCTGCTTCTCCTCGCTGCGTGAAAAAGGAGGGAGAGGGGATCATTGGGGCAGGGGAACTGGGGGTTGCTAGGGGACAAGGAGAGCCTCAAAAAAAGGGGTCTCTGCCCCATAGAGCAAGGCCACTGTCCCCCAAAAAATCTCTGCCCCATAGTAGCGCTGACTTCCCCTTCATTTTGCCTTCCTGCCCGGCAACACGCTGCGGCCTTCCCTTCCTTCTCCTCCACTGTAGCCCATCTAAAGGTGACTTTCTCCGTCCCCGAGCATCCTTGGAGTACGTTCCCCCCAATTTCAGAGTAACACACAAACACAACGCAAGAGAAAGGCCTTTCTTTCCCAGGTCCAAAGGGCTGTCTTGCAAGCCCAAACAAGGGGAGGAATTAGACTCTGAAAGAGGGGACAGGCACATGGACTGGAACCCCAAATAGTCTAGCCCCTTTCTCCCCCCCCCAAACCACCCACCTGAACCTCCTTTCATGTCGCATATTCCATTCCCCAGTCAATTACACCCCAGCCTTCCCATCTCACAGCCCGCCCACCCTCCCGCGTCGCCAGTCCTATGGAGCCCAGGCTGCCTCGTTCCCCCACCCCACCCCCACCCCACTGTTGCTCGGTGGCCAGGGAGGGCCAGGAGCAGAAAAGGAGCAGCAGCCAGAGAGGCAGAAAAGAGGGAAGACAAGACAGACAGACACACACACATACACACACATGCGGGATGGAAAAGAGGGAGCGAGGGCGGGAGGGGGAAGGAGGAGGAGAAGAAAAAATATCTCTGCAGAGAAAAGGGCAGGCGGTGGGGGGGGAAAGGGGGGGGGAGAAGGATGGGTGGCTGAGCCCTGGAGGTGGGGGAGGAAGAGAAGAATCCAGCAAAGGAAGCAGCTGGAAGGCAGGCAGAGGGCAGGA